TATTGTGTATGTAATAGGCATGTGACTGTATCTATATACCTAAGTTAAATACCTGTATATCTATAATTACATGTTCCTACAGTGGGAAGCCCCGCCAGCCGAGGCGGGCGCGCGCTAGCGTTTACTATTATCTTTCTATTCCTATTTGGGAGTTGGTCCAAATAATCGCATGAGACCCAATCCCTACATATAACCGTTCACCAAAAATACATACATGCATAAGACAGAACCCTACTTCCTACATCACTTTCATACCACCCTACACGATCCCAGTTTCCGTTCCATGTTCCGTTCTGCTGTTCCATTTATTTGATGTTTGTCCATTAGCTGCGGGGGGGAGTATCCCAAACCCTAAGCCCTTAAAAAAAGGAAAAACGGAATCACACCCTACTCACGAAACAAGGTTTTCGCCGTATTGGGTTCTGTGGGTTGCTGTTGGACATTGTGGATACCGCCCGGCCCACCCTTCACCCAACGTAAGGATCGTTTGTATATGTGTATGGATGTTATATTCATATATATATATATACATACTGTTGATGGACGAAATCTTGCACCACCTTCAGGCACTAAACTACTGTAATTCCTAGGACTTTAAGGACTTCAGGTGGTGCCAGATTTCCTCCATCACAAGTATGTTGGTAACTGGTATAGGGTCAGTACAGTATCCAACAAATACTATATCTGGACTTGTTTCGTCTTTGTTCCAGGAGCTGGTTGGATTTTGGGGTATGACTCGAATTGCGTGTACCCGTATAGACGAGCACGGCATGCGCATCCCTCATTAAAAGATTCAAGACATTCCCATGTACTGCCTAACAATAAGTTTGAGGGTGCTCAGAACAATTAGCGTAGACTCACATGGGCAACAACAAGGGCTGACCATAAAGCAGAAAGGTGTAGTACTAGGGAAAACCCCCGTAGCCCCAAACCAAAATTGCTTAATTAGGGTGGGTTTGGGGGCCCTATAAAAATTGGTGTTCATGACTTTATAAGGATTATATAGGGGTTAAGGGTAGTAAAGATGAAAAAATCAGTTCAAACCTAGCCGTGTAAACCGAAACTGTCCTACCAAGTCAAGCGTCGTCCTGCAACAGCCGGGCAACACCGTCCCGCTACTCCGTGTTTCTGTTGGACTCCGGAGCCATCGAAAAATGGCTGCGAAGATGCTCCCAAATACCTCCTGTAACGATTTAGGGTTTAGGGTTTAGGGTTTAGGGTCTAATAGAGGCCACAAAGACAGGCCTAAAGTTTTCAGCAGCTCCCAGATGCGATTCTGTAGGAAATGGTGTCTACACCGTGAATTCTTTCGCATGCCAACCTGTCCCAACTGACCTTTCATCTGGCGCTACTATAAGACTTTGTGTGCCTGGCGTGGTTTGCCAAATAAAAGAGAAATTCTAATTGAGGCCCGGCGAGAGCCTATTTGGGACTTGTCGCCATAAGATAGAAAATCCAAGTTGAGGTCCGGTGAGGTCGTTGTAATTTGGCCGATCTCATCCGTCAAGAAAATCACTATGTCCGCAGTTTACGGTTCGGAGACTAGGGGTTGCGAAGTCTGTCACAAGACTCTCACAAAACCACATGCTGCCGCTGCCTCAACCACTCCCTTTTACTTCGCAGGCACAGAAGGAATGCGTTCAGAGAAACTTTCGTGAGGGGTTGTTTTTAGGTATAAGGAGGCGCGTGGAATTCAGTCCAACCCATGCCTACTAAGAATCACGCAGAAAATGCCCATGATGCCCAGAAGCTTCCAAGCTCAGGAGCCCAATATTGCGCCTAATCCGCGAAGAACCATGCAAAAGAGTTTTTTCAAGAGTATGGCTCCCTGTTCCCTTTGAAGGCTTATACACAGGATCATTGTGGTGGAAGTATGTAGGCGGACCCTTACAATGAGAAATGCCCGTTTCGTGACGTAGGGAACACCCGTGGCTGTTGGAATACCTGGACTTGAACAGCTCACCATCCCCGTCTCCATCCACGCAACTGCCAATGCGCCAAATGCAAAGCCTGCGAACTCTTCAACAAAGCGGTGGCCCGTCATCTTGTTGGCCCCTAACATTTTGTTATAGTATTCGATGGAATCTGCCGGGATCATGTTGCGTTTGCCCTGCCTGCGAGCATACCAGACCCCTCTGAGAATTTAGACCCCAAGGATACAACATATACAACGCAGTGAAATTTGTGAAGGCACACAACATGCCAAAGCTGTGGAAACAAAACAGGAACAGCCAGAGTATGGGATGAACTTTTCCTGACGTCCACTTCAGTGATAGGGTCTTCGAATTGGGGTTCAGGATATTTCCACTGAACTCGGATTCCTACTCAACTTGGGAAAAACACCTTCCAGAATTCTGGAAATCATGAGTCTCTCCGCCAGGATTTACATTTACGGTTTTAGGATTCAGGGTTCAGGGTTTCCAGAAGGTTATGGAGCTTCACTAAATGCAACGTACGCATGAGACATTTATGGTTTGAGCTTCTGTTGCCTAGACGCGTTCAAGTCTGCTGCAGGTGCATCTCAAAGGGTCCGGAGTTCTAGACATACCCACTGCGAATGGCGGAGCAGACCTTTTGCACGCGGGCAGGTCCTGCTGGCGGTGCAGAAATCTCACCACTGAGTAGAGGAGCATGACGCTGTACCGCGATGCTTTTCGCATCTTGGGTGGCAAGAAGACCGGCTGTGGCCTTCGCCAACCTGCGGCCTTGCAAGGGCCATGTAACTTGATGGCATATACGTGGATAGTTTCCAAAATTAGGGTCCCATTTGGGTACCTCTAAATCTTAGGTGCCGTACTAGAATCTATATCCAAAACGGGCCCAGAATTTTGGGAACAACCCGTGTGACAATGGTAGATTCCTGCAAGCCAAAGAGTACGGGCTCTGAAGCTCTACCCGCATTGGCTGTTCGCACGCACGGGATTGTTGTTGGGACCCTCGCCGATCTCCACACTCAGGAGCTGACAGGAGCACGGCAAAAGTGCCGTACGTTGTGGCGCTGGACCAACATATGCTTTAAGCATGTTGGGGAAAACAGCAAAAACAAGTGCTTTGAGGCTGCCAAGCTCCCATGTTGTGGCTTTCTTGCAGCAAGCATCCCTCTCATGTTCTTTATTTATGCTTACTGCTACTGAAATCTTCATTGCCTTTACTGTTCTTAATTTTCCTGTTTGTGTACTATGAATAATAACTTTGGAAATATTCAAGGAGACTCAAGCCTTGGCAAGGGGCCACTACCGGCATGGTTAGATGCTGGCATTTCCTAAGCATCTGAAATCCTCAGAGTTAGTTGGGTGTGGGGTGTAATTAGGGTTCAGGGTTTGGGACTTGGCGTGGTTGAACCCTAATGCCTAGAACGGCATGCTGCGTCTTCACGCAACATGAGGTTTCCCCTTACTCTAGAAGGAGGAAAAGGCCCGCGGGCGCGCTAAAACTTCACTCTGTCTCCTTCTTGCGGCCAAACACCTACAGGGACAGAGAATCTCGTTGTTCCCAATAGTAGGACCATACAGGACCTCTCAAAAGGACGCAGGTCGCTCATTTGGGCCTCTTTCAAACGCAGAGCCTACTAGTTTCAAACGCAGTTCCTATACGAGTTAAAGGAGGTATGGATTGTAGGAATAAACAAAACATCGCTACAGCAGAGGGCGCAAATCCATGGGAAGGAGCACTAAACTTCTGCTTGCGTAGGAGCTGTAAAGGTCCCAAGTGCCTCATCCTCAATGTACTCATAGTAAAACTGGACTTGCAGGAAGTCCGTCATGTCTAGCGTGAAGGCAAGGATCACGACACGCATAGTGGAGTCATCAACCAGCATGGTACATTCGATCACCTGCCTTTTCCAAGATGCTACTAGCTCCTCGTCGTTGAAGTCCGTAAGATGACGATAATACTCTTCTCGCAGCACCTTCACACAGGGTCTACACTTTGAATCCTTTCAGGTCCGCAGGCGTACCTCTTGATAAACCTTGTACATTCCTCGCGTGGCCTCTATAGAATCCCATGTTCTTAGCGCACCTTGACAAGGCCAAGCACATTGGGATCTAGACCCAACCCGCTCAGAGCATTGATAAACGATGCCAGTGCTATGCCTTCGGCAAGCGTCCAGTCGTCCCATGGCTTGTCTGAAACGAAGCTCAACTGTGATGTTTTCACGACCACGGACCCAGCAGCAGCACATGCAAACAGTGCATTGAACACCATCTGAAACAAAACCACAAAGCTGAGACCGCCAGCGAGAGAGGAGAGGTTGAGCCAGTTCATCTGGCGCAGACGCTTCAAGAGATCTTTTATGTCGTCTTTGTTCCTGACTTGCTTGACATTCCGGATGCCCAGCATTCGAGCTTGGGTGCTCCACTGAAAGAAGGCATTAAGGAAGTCATAAACGGCAACTTGAAGCTGGTTCAGCATCACTGCCGGATTAGCATACGGCAGGCTAGAAAAGGCTGAAAAACGTCCAAGCCGTCGGACATTTCTGGCAAACGCAGTGTAGTGGTGAGGCTTGTGGGGCTTGCGGTAGATCATGACCAGCGAATAGAGGCAAGACACAGCCATCAAGACAGCCAGTGGAACTTCAAACCATGCCAGCAGAAACTTTGAAAGGTTGAGATTCTGGTCCGGATTTCGAGGCGGCAGAATCCATGCCGAATACACAAGGAGGCTCCCATTGGCAACGGCACGAAGTAGCATCAGGAAGGCGCCAAACATACGTCCCGGGTTAGGCTCCTTCTCATTGAAGTGATCTTTCCATTTTTGCTCGGTCACCTGTCCAAGCGGAAAATCATTTTGCCTGGTGATGTAGGCAAGGCAAGAAGCTGGAAGGTTGATTCCCATGGTGCCCATCAAGATGCCCCAAACCTGACTCATGCTCAGTTGGGACTGAAGGAATGGATCCCCATTTAAAATCTTACATTATCCCTATAAACTGTTCACTCTCTTTCAACTAAACCCTAAACTCCAAGCTCCCAAGAAGCTGGAAATTCCCTTGCCTGGGCCTATCCCTCCCCTGATTCCCAACTAACTATGACGAATGAGAAACAAGGCATCCGGCGCTCCAGGGCCCGAGACGTAGCGTACCTTCTTTATCCACGACGCCATCCTCTGCCATCACCAGTGGCATGACCCAGACCAACCTCAGATCCATTTCTCGGAATTCATGCGCCCTGGTTGCTCCCATCAACTACCAAATTTGAGCTTGCTTCAGCCAGTTGGAATTTTGAGCTGAGGCAATACACAGGGGGTGGCTTCTGAATCGCAATGTGTAACAGCCCTGTGCAATGAGGACATTAAATCGCAGCAACCTCTACCGCTTCCAGGGAGGGGAAACTCCAGTTGCTCCAGGGCAAGAAAACGGCACCAAAGCCCTTGCGGGTCTAGGTGTCTACAGACCCTGCGCTCCCACGCCGGCACATGAATTGATGGCTAGCACACAGGGATGCTAAGACATAACACGCGGGCATCTCAAAACTAGGGTCCTCTCTAAACCATATCACTATAATCCTACAAGCCCTGATACAAGGACCTGATTCCGAGAACCTCCCACAAAGCAGCTCCGATCTCGAGTACCTGCCTAATCAACGGCAACATGCCAGGCTTAGATCACGTTGGGAGTGGGTGCAGGGGTTATGGTTGTGGTTCCTTCCCTCTATTGCATGCCACATCTTGGCCTACTCAAAAGCAATCCGACTTCTCGCCGCAACAAAATGTGAACAACAATGCTTAACCCACAAGCCCAACACCCTGAACCCCAAACCGAAATCCCTAAATGTCAAATACGTAGCATGAGGATTCCTGGCAAGCTGGTGGCAGCCAGCACGATCATCCCTGCCAAAAGGGAGGCGATCATGCCAACGATTTGCTCGATGCATCTGCTCAGCATCTTACGCACGCACCGCATCATCCTCAATCTTCAGCGTTTTAGGTTTAGGTTGAAGGGGTTAGGGTGCAGGGCTTAGGGTTTCAGAAGCAGGTAGGGTTTAGGGGTTGAGGATTAGGGTTTAGGGTTCAGTTGGTAGGGTTTTGTCCTGCTGCTGCTGCTGCTGCTGCTGCTGCTGCCTTCCTGGCTGGCATACCATTACTGCCACTATCCTATCATCGTTGCTAGTACTGTCTTCTTACCGTCAGGATCCTGCTTCAGTGCTCTGATAGCAAAGTAACCGTTCATAATCATTGTTGTTATTCCCCAGCACCAGCGAAAAAGACTTCAGCGCACCTCTGACTCCAAGCACGCCTCAAACTCATAGCTGGAGGGGCTTAAACAGGACTCGCAAAACAAATGGGTCCCAGTACGATCTTTTGTGTAGAATCCCCCTACTAGCGGCCTTGTACGCGACAAGTAGGTAGGACTCTTATCTTTATCCTGATATTCTTATCTGAGATTTCGTCCAAGTAACCTGTATGAAAACCCAATCCCTACGTAGAACCACCAATTTTTAGAATTTATAAATTGGCCATATTCATTCACGGGGATATATGCTCTCCCCCGAGTCGCCGCGCAGAAGCCCAAGAAAGATAAATGGAGCAGAAAATCTAGATTGACTGCCAGAATCGCACGAGCAAAAAAAACTACCTGACCAAAAATCTATCAAGCTTTCAAACTAATTCTCTCTCTTTGGGTATCTGCGCGGCAGAGATTTAAAATCTTTCAGCGCTCGCACTGCTAATGCATTGTCATCCTTAATTGTTCATTTATGGTCTCCCCAACTGGAAATCCAATATATACGCCCACAATATTCCCAAGGAAACCTAACAAACATATGTACACTCACCAAAAAAGAACAGATAACCCTATTTCCTATATTTGCCTATCATACCATAACACGCTACACAACCCCAGCTTCTATTTAGTTGTCCATGGTGTCCTTCCATTTGATTCTCAACCATTTCGGGGCAGGAAACTCTAAACCCCCAAAACCCAAAACCCTAAACTACCCTAAACCCAAAACCCCTCCTAAACCCAAAACCCCTAAAATAAACCCCTAAGCCCCTAAAACAACAGTGATCACACTCCACCTCGCATAATGAGCGTAATGGGTTCCGCGGGATGCTGCTGATACTTTGGATACCGCCCCCTCCCACCCTATACCCCATGACAAGGACATCTTTTCTGTATGTGGGGGGTTGTCAAAATTATGGTCCCTTTTTGGGTCCCTATTATGATACGGCACCTAATATTTAGGGTACCCAAAAAGGGACCATAATTTTGACAACCACCCATGTAGATATTGTGTACATATGTGGTTGGTACAGGTGAGGTCGGCATCCAACGAATGCTTCATCTGGACTTGATTCTTTGTTATCGAGGAGCAGGGGTGTTTTTTGGATATGGCTCGAAATAAGTGCATCCATATAGATGACCATGACATGTACCTCCCTACTCTAAGATTCAAGACATTCCCCATGCACTTCCCAACAAGAAGTTTGAGGCTGCTGAAAGCAGGAATTGGCAACAACAGGGGCTGACCATAAAGCAGACATGTCTCGTACCGAGGGGAAGCCCGTAGTCCCAAACCAAAAACGTTAAAATGAAATTATCCTACCAAGCCAAGCGTCGTCATGCGACAGCCGGGCAAGACGATCCCTCTACTCCGTGTTTCTGCTGGTCTCCGGAGCCATCGAGAAATGGCTGCGGAGATGCCTCCAAATATCCCCTGTAACGATCATCTTGCTCATAGATGCTCCGAAAACTGGACAGCCACATGAACTATAGTCTAAACTCCTTAAAAGGGTTTGTATAGGCGAGCTCTTTATGGGGGCTATTAAGGGGGATACTAGGAATTTAGACTATAGCTCATATGCCATTCTATGGGAAATTGTGTATCAGCGTGAAGGCTCTCGCACGTCGACCTCTCCCACCTGGCCTTTCGTCTGGCTTAGGGTTTAGAGTTTAGGGAACCCAAAACCTATCTTTTACGGACTCCTTGCCATATGAGCCATAATCTAAACTCCCGCTATCCCCCTTTACAATCCCCTTAATAGGCCCCCTGCACATTCCCCCCCAGTATAACCCCCCTTCAAAGAGTTAGACCACAGCTGACATAAACCACCATTTGGGTTGAGGTCGGGTGAGGTCGTCATAATTTGGTCCGTCTCATCCTTCAAGAGAATCACCGTGTCTGCGACTTAGGCATCAGGGACTACTTGGAGGGTCAAGCAGACGTAATAAGTAGGTAAATTACCCCTATAACCCAGAAAGCAATCCTAGTCCTAGGTATCCCTAGTATTGACCTACTTGCCCTAAGCCCTTTGTGTAGTAGTTTCAAATTGCTTTTCATTAGTAACCCTAGTTACCCCATTATCAACCCATTTAGTAGGTCCACCTGACCCTCCAAGTACGGGCTTCCAGATCTGCCCCACACACACAGCCTGGCTTTATAGGGATTGTGGGGTTATATAGGGATAATGGAAAAGAAAATGGAAACTATTCTATGGTATAAGATGGGGTTCAGGGTTTAGGGTCTCGCGCACACATGCTACTTCAACCACTACCTTTTACTTCGTAGGCAGTGAAGGAGTAGGTTCAGAGAACTGTCATGGGGGGCAAGGTATAGTATAGAGTTACTTTTGGGATTTAATTCCCGCGTCCATAGTAGCAATATTGTTCAATAGCGTCCAGGACCTTCCAAGGTATCCAGTAACAAGCCGTGCATAATCCGCCAAAACCCCTGTACGAGCGTTTTTCCAGATTATGGCTCCCTGCTAGTTTAGACACTCCTTATACACACAATGATGGTGGTGGAAGTATGTAGGTGGACCCTAACGATGGGAAATGCCTATGGCGTGACGTAGAGAACATCCCTGTTGTTGAGAATGCCTGGACTTGAACAGCTCACCATCCCCGTCTCCATGCACGTAGCTGCCAAGGCGCCTAATGCAAACTCAAAAAAACTCTTCAACCAAGCCATGACCCATCATTCGGTTGGCCCCTAACATGTGGTTAGTCTTCCATGGAATCTGCCGAGATCAGGTGGCATTTGCGCTGCCTGTGAGCATACCAAATGCCCCTGAGATTTTAGACCTCAAGGATACAAAGCAATGAAATTCGTGAAGGAACGCATCATGCCAAAATGGCAGAAACAACAACTGGCCTTTGGTCAGCTAGGGACGAAGGAATGGATCCTTATAGTAGTCCCTATGTAACCAATTCTGTTAGTGCGACTTTCTTTTCCATTCCTTCTTTCCCAGCTCACCAAAGGCCAGAAAAAAGAACAGCTAGATCATGGGATGAGTTTTGCTGACATCCACGTCGGTGATGGGGTCTTAGGCTCAGGGTTCCGGATATTTCCACTGAACTCAGATTCCTACACAAGTTGGGCAAAACACCTTCCAGGGAGTCTCAACGTGATGGGCCCCTCCACAAGGATTCACTTTTGAGGGTTTAGGATCCAGGGTTCAGGGTTTAGGATTTATATCAAATCTTAATAAGGCTTGCTGCTAAGCGCAATGTACAGAGGCGGCGATTGTGATTTGAGTTTCTGTTACCTACAGACATTCAGGTCTGCTGCAGGTGCTTCAATATTCAAGGTCCAGGAATTCGAGACATACACACTTCGGACTGCGAATGGCGGAGCGAGCCTTTTGCACGCGGGCAGGTCCTGCTGGCGGTGCGGAAACCTCTCCAGAGGAGAGGAGCATGACAAAATAGTTGTTGCGCAACTCGAGGCACTGTACCGCGATGCTTTTCGCATCTTGGGTGCCAAGAAGACCGGTGTAACTTGATGGCATATGAGCCATAGTCTAAGCTCCTTGAAGGAATTATATAGGGGACCATTATGGGGGCTATTAAGTCAGGGGGATTCTAGGAGTCTAGACTATAGCTCGTATAGGTGACGACAGTAGACTCCAGCAAGCCAAAGAGCACGGGCTCTGAAGCTCTACCCGCATTGGCTGTTCGCCCGCGCGGGATTGTTGTTGGGACCTCCGCCGATCTCCACTCAGAGGCTGACAGGAGCACGACCAAAGTGCCGTGTGTTGTGGCGCTGTACCAACGTATGCTTTAAGCATGTTGGGGAAAAGCAAAAACAAGTGCTTTCAGGCCTTCCCTATAGCCACGTGCCAAGCTCCCATGTTGTGGCTTTCTTGCAACAAGCATCCCTATCTTTTGCTTTCTGTATGTTTGCTGCTACTAAAAATCTATTATCTTTATCATTCTTTGGGTATATTCATGAAGACTCAAGCATCGGCACGGGCCAAGCACTCGAATGGTCAAATGTTGGAATTTCACCTGGTGAAGGGTTTCAGGTATAGGGCCAAGGTCTAGGGCCCTAAAGCCTAAATCCTCAGCTTTAGGGGGTGTGGGGTGTAGGGTTCAGGGTTTGGGGTGATTGAACCCTAGAATCCCTAGGACAGCATGCTGCGTCTTCACGCAACATGGTTCTCCCTTGTTTTGGGAGGAAGAGCTGTCCCATGGCCGCATTAAAGCACGAAAGCACAGGCTTCACTCAGAATCCTTCTTGGGGGCAGCCACCTGCAGGGACACAGCATTCATGACTGTGCTTGTTAGTATCATTAGCAGTACTAGTATTACTAGTAAACTTCATGATAATCAAAATAACAATCAACGAAGATTTCTATTGCCGCTATTACTTCCTTTCTTACTATTACGGCTGTTAGCAACACAGAAAAGATAATGGCGGTAATAGAAGTATCATGTACAGAGTATGATATTGATCGTTTTTTGTTCGGGAGGATGGCGGGTCTCTCTTACAAGGGGGAGGGGACCGGTCAGGACTCAAAAGGATGCGGGTCGCTCACTTGGACCTCTTTCAAATTCAGATCCTACTGGTGGAAGGAGCAATAATCCGGGGGTCGTAGTTTGGAAAAAGCCGTGTAGATTGTTGGAATAAACAACAAATCCACAATTTACTGAGAAACAGAACTACGGTCCCAAGAGCCTCGGGGTCCTTATCCTTATCTATGATCTCGCAGCAGTCCGTGAGGTCTAACGTGAGGGCGCAAATCAAGACAGATGCTCGGCCGCTGTCGCTGTGGGGGTCATGAACCAGCATGATACATTGGATCACCTGCCTTTGCCAAGATGCCACTAGCTCGTCGTCGCTGAAGTCCATAATAAGGTTTCCATACCGTTCTCGAAGCACCTTCACACTGGGTCCGTCAAAGTTTTGGCAGCCCTACACTTTTCGTCATTGCAGGACGGTATGGGTACCCTCTTGATGAAACCTCTGTATTACTCGCGTGACCGCTATAGAATCTTGCTTACTGGTCTCAACGCACCTTGACAAGGCCAAGCACGTTTGGATCCAGACCCAACCCGCTCAGAGCATTGATGAATGATGCCAGCGCTATGCCTTCGGCAATTGTCCATTGGTCCCACGACTTGTCTGAAACAAAACTCATTTGTGATGTTTTCACAACCACGGAACCAATGGCAGCACATGCAAACAGCGCATTGTAGACCATCTGAGAGAAAACCACATAGCCGAGAACGAAGAGGTTCTTCCAGCCAAGCTGGCGCAGTTTCGACAGAAGATCGCGCTTGTCACCTTTGACATTCGTGACGCCCAGCTCTTTCGCTTTTTCGCTTTGCTGAAGGAAGTCATTAACGGCAACTTTCAGCTGGTTCAGCATCACTGCTGGGTTAGCATACGGCAGGCTGGAAAAGGCTGAAAAACGTCCAAGCCGACGGACATTTCTGGCGAACGCGGTGTAGTGATTTGGCTTTTCCGACTGCCAGTAGATCATGACAAGCGAATAGAGGCAAGACAATGCCATCAAGAAAGCCAGCGGAGCCTCGAACCATGCCAGCAGAAACTTGGAAAGGTTGAGATTCTTGTCCGGATTTCGAGGCGGCAAAATCCATGCCGAATACACAAGGAGGCTCCCATTGGCGACGGCACGAAGTAGCATCAGGAAGGCGCCAAACATACGTCCCGGGTTAGGCTCCTTCTCATTGAAGTGATCTTTCCATTTTCCCTCGTTCACCCCTCCAAGCTGGAAATCATTCTGCCTGGTGTTGTGGGCCAGAAACAAAGCCGGAATCTTCAGTCCCATGGTGCCCATCAAGATGCCCCAAACCTGACTCATGCTCAGTTGGGACTAAAAAAATGCACCCCCAAAGTAGTCTTACCTGATCCTCATAGACCACTCACCCCTTACCACCTAGCGCCCAAAGCCTAAACACTTAAAAAATGCAATTTTTTATATTGCCTTTTCCCTTCCCCCATTTCCAACTAAGCATGGCCTAGAAACAAGGCATCCGGCGCTCAAAGACCCGAGCCGTGGCTTGCCTTCTTTATCCACAATGCCATCCTCCACCATTGCCCGGGGCATCACCCACATCAACCTCGGATTTAGTTTTTGGAAACAATGCCCTCAGGTTGTTTGTAATTGGCTGCAGTTGAGCTTGCTTCAATTGAAGTACAAAGGAGCTGTGGGGTGCAGATGTACATGACTATATCCTATCGAAAATGGGTGCAGGGTACTGGGAATGATGTTAAAGGGCCTCTGTACGGATACATCCCCACATCTCATGCTAAGCACTGAAGAGGCATTCCTGCGCATAAGCCGTCAAAACAGAACATCAAAGCCTGATGATGCGGTTGCTTGCCCCTACAAATGCGCATCTTCTTCTCCTATTCTAAGGACGCAACCCCACTGCCGCCGCAACAAAAATGTCAACCATCAAGTTTAATCCCAGAGCCCAAAACCCTGAACCCCTAATTCTAAATCCGCAAGTTCCAAACAAGCCACATGAGGACTCCTGGCCAAATAGTGGCACCCAGCACGATCATGCCTGCCAAAAGGGAGCCGATCGTGCCAGCGATTTGCTCGATGCATTTGCTCAGCATCTTACGCACACACCGCATCATCCTCACACTTCAGCATGTAGGGTTCGGGGCTTAGGTTTTTAGGGTTCAGCGTTTGGGTTTTAAGCTTTGGGGTTTATGATTGACGGACCGGTTTCGGGTTTGGGGTTCAAAAGGCAGGGTCCACTCTTGCTGCTACTACAACGATTACGTCCTGACTGTCATACCATTATGCCACTATCCTATCATCAGTAGTGTCAAGATCCTATTGCTGTTGATCTCATCGTACAGGAATCGTTCATAATCCTTGCACTTCCCCAAATACCAGCGATAAACACATCACCCCGAGGACGCATGAAAGCCATTCCTAGAGGAGTGTGGCGAGGACGCCCCAGAAAATGGATATAATGATCGCCAATATGAAGCCTCATGGAATTCCCATAATACGAGCTTTTTGCATGCCTGATTGTGAGTCATCAGATGAGGCCCTATGGAAAGCTGGACCCAATGTGAGGTGTGAGGTCGCTTTAAATTGCCCAGTACATAGAGCCCATGATCTTTAGAGACTTTCTATGTTAGCCTATGTAGCAACGGAAAGGCATAAAGGTTTTGGGCGTATTGGGCTCCGCGGCTTGCTGCTCGATACTCTCCTGTTAATAATGCCAAAATTGAGGCTGTCAAACTAATAAAGACATGAAGAGGGTCATACAGGCATGTGTGTATGTATATACACGACTGTTACAGGATGAGGGTGGTATCCAGCGGATGCCATCTCTCTGTGGGCTTGCTTCTTTGTGCCAAAGGAGCAGGTACAACGCGATGAAATCTGCGAGAGACTTGGACACGTCTCAAAAGAGGCGTACCCGTATAGACGACCATGACATATGGCCCCCCCTTACGCATTTTCGAATAATCCATGTACTTTCCAAGAAGATTTGCTGGAAAATCGTGGGTGCTGGGACACTGTTCAGAAACTCTCGTATACCTTCTAGCTGTACATTCGAGTGCTCCAAGCAGGCAAAACACACAGCATAAAGAGATCGGTCCAGTGCTTTTGATAAGAAAATCTTTTCGTGGCAATAAGATTGTCGCTACTGGAAACAGGAACAATAACCGTAATAGTAATAGTATTAAAACAATATAAGAGTAATAATCGTAATATAGAGTATAATAGAACATATTAGAAATAGACTTAATAGTAGTAGGAACAATGGTATCTGTGATAACCGCAATACTAATATTTGTACTAGTAGTATAGCGAAAACATCCAGGTCAGTCAAGCGTCGTCATGCAACAGCCGCAGCACAATCCTGCTACTTTGGTTTCGTGAGCCATCAGAAACTGGCTGCGATGATGTACCCGATATGCCCTGCAAAATTAATCCTGCCGTTGAAGGTCACGACGAATGGGGCCTAAAGGTTTGAGCGCCTCAAGAAAGCCATTGCGTCCGCCGTGTACGGTTTGGGGAGGCGGGGTTGCAACATCTGCCACAAGCCTGTCACAAGAGCATGCTGTTTCAACAACTACCTGGTCCTTCGCATGCAGCGAATGAATGGGTTCAAGAGAGGTTTCAAGGGAGTACATGTACAGGAAGATGTTTGGCATTCATTCCCCCCCGTCTCTGCTTCCAGGCAGGAAGATGATGCGAACGCTGTCCAGAACCTTCCAAGTTGTTGAACAAAAAACCCAAGAACCATCCGCGAAGAAACATGTAGGACCTTTTTTTAGATTATGGCTCCCTTCGTAAGTGCGTTAAACATGGTCATGGTCGTGGGGCTATTGAGGCGGACCTTTAGCAAAAGAAATGCCCATGCTGTGACATCCCTTGTTGCTGAAATACCCGTACTGTAACAGCTCACAATCCTCGTCTCTATCCACGCAACTGCCAAATGCGGCGAATGCCAAGCCTGCAAACATCGGGATCATGCTGCGTTTGCGCTGCCTGTGGGTATGCCACACACCTCTGAGTAGTTACAGCTCAAGGCTACAAAGCAGTGGACTAGGACTTGTGAAAGAACGCATCATGCCAAAGCTGCGACGAAAAATGAGCAAAAAAAAGCTGCGGCTGATCTCTTCCTGCCATCCACTTCAATAAGAGTGTTTTGGGCTTAGTCTCAGGAGATTTACTGCACCATGTGTGAAGAAGAAACTTTCCTGAATCATCTTAGGGCTTAGCGAGGTTTAGATGTTTAGTGCATTTAGGATTTAGGCCTTACACTGGGACTACTCCCTCCACCTAACTGCAACCTCTCCATCCCCCCCATGCTAGAGAATTCCCTTGGTATGTGACATTTACTATTACGATTCCTTATAGAACCCAGTGGTCCCTAAAGCCTAATGGGGTTTGGGATTGGGGAGGCTGCTATTGATGGGGCCATACCAATCCAACCCTATGATTCAGTGCTTGCCTACTAAAGATTCACGATTTATTTTAACAAGTATAACCGCATAACCCAACAGAGGGGTGTGTAACTGGGTATGTGAGCAGCGTTCACCTCAAGGAACATTGCACTGACTCACCGCTCGCCCAAGAACCTTGCAAAGTCCCGCACACCCCGGTTTAGGGTTAATCCAAAAAACTCTAGACCCCTAAACTTTTAGGGCTCCAAATCCTAGAGTCCAAGTGTATTGAGCGTGAGGATCCCTTGAACCCCCAAAACTGTGTTGCTGTTGAGAAACTTAAGTTGAACAACCATACTGGGTATATCTCACTATTTATGTGGTTCCCGTAGTATGGGAACTTAAACTAAGTTCCGTAACAGCAACCCAGTAAACCTACGCCTGACGAAGGGCAAGAAGTGCATTTTTGCCGTGCTGCTTTCGCATCCTGGTCTTGCGCGCGCTCGCGGGCGCTTCGTCGAGATGCGCCTGGATGGAGCAGGGCAGGGGGGCAGCGACTACAGCAAGGATGTGCAATTTAGAACTTAGGATAGAAGGTCTAGAATATAATTATGAAGGTTTTGGACTTTCAGCTATGGCTTTTCAATCGATGGGTTTAGGGTTCAGGTAGTGGGCTTCAGGGTCTATGATTCAGGCCTCAGTTTAAGGCACCGGACTGAGGGCTTGGATTCAGAAGAGTAAATGCAATTTTCGTCTGCACTGCTTCCCCTCGCACAGCTACGCCCCTAAACAGAAGACGTCCCAACTGTAGAAGTTCGGATCCAGCCCTGGGCTCCACATTTACTCAGATTCTCAGGCTTTTGAACGCATGATGTCCTACAACACATATCAAAGAACTGGACTCAGGCCCCAGAAACACTTGATTTCTGGGACGATGTGGCATGTTACAGCCCCACAACAAATCCCCAATCTCGAATCCCACGGCCTGGATTTCTTTCCCTTAAGATGCATCCCGACTCTGAATGGTTTAGGGTTTAGGGTTTAGGGGTTTAGGGTTTAGGGGTCTAGGGTTTAGGGGTTTAGGGTTTAGGGGTTTAGGGGTTTAGGGGTTTAGGGTTTAGGGTTTAGGTCTCGGAGCCTCCTTGTACCTCACAGGTGCAAAGTAAGAATTCCTGCCTTCAAAGCCCTAGAACCTGAACCCTGCTTGAAAAAATTCGATGCTTTTGTCTTCTGGGGTAGTAGTAGCAAGCTTTCGGCAGGAATCGATCTGTATTGATCTTTCCTCCCCAACACCCGCATTGAATGTATTGAAGACTCCTCCAATACACTAACAGTCCCAACAAAAAAGGCGATGGTGGGCACAAGCGAACTTATTCTGGTATTGCAGGGCTTATTAGGGCCTGCTAAACACCCTAATCCCTAAACCCTGAACCCTAAACCGTGAACTAAAAACCTAAACCCTGAACTCTAATCCCTGAACTCTGAACCCTAAACCCTGAACCCTAATCCTTGACTAGGCCCTGTTTTCTTACCCCTATATAACCCCTATAGAATCCCTATAGTTTCCATTTTCTCTTACATTATCATTATATCCTGTATGCTAACCTTGAACCCTAAATCCTGAACTCTAATCCCGAAACCCTGAACCCTAAACCCTAAACCCTTTTAAATAATCCTTATATAACCCCTATACATAATCCCTATATAACCCCGGTAGTTTCCATTTTTCCTTTATCCCGAAGCCCTAAACCCTGAAGAATATATAGTAGTTTTCATTTTCTTTTCCATTATCCCTATATTATCGCCCTGTATTACCCCTATATAATCCTTATATGACCCCTATAAAATCCCTATATAACCCCTCTAGTTTCCATTTTCTTTTCCAGTATCCCTATATCGCCCTGTATGACCCCTATGATATCCTTGGCCAACCCAGGGCCTTCTCGAAGAGCTCCGGTCGCCACTTGGGCCGATGGGCGGGTCCGGCTGCGCGCCGGGCCTACGATTTTTTGGGGGGGTTTGGGATTTAGTGTTTATAGGATTTAAGGTTTAGGAATTAGGATTTAGGGTTTAGGGGTTTAGGGTTTATGATCTAGGATTTAAGGTTTAGGATTTAGGGTTCGCGATTTAGGATTTACGGTTTAGAGAGGGTTGGGGCATAAAACGCTTAGGCTTTGAGGTAGAGGCTCAAGGGAGCGTATGGTTTAGACTCCTGTCTCAGGTGCTCTCTTCTGTGGATTTCCGGTTGCTTCTCTACATGGAGGTTCAGGGAAATTCGCCAAGGCATCCAACCTCAGGGCCTTCAGATCCCTTTAAAAATTCGCGATTTAGGATTTACGGTTTA